TATTTCTGACGGTGGGGACCAGGTAAAAGAAAGCAACAGATGATGCTGAGGGACCCGTGGAGTAGGAGGAACAGGAGGCCATTCCTACTGCCAGGTGCGAAGTGCAAGTGGGATGAGGGATGGTTTTGAAAATGGCTTGAGCACTGCAGGCATGGGAAGACCACAGCTTGGCAGACCTGTAGTTGCCCAGGACGCAGCCATTTGCTGCAGTGATGCCAGGCAGAGCAGGGCAGAAGCAGTGCCCCCTTTCTCATGCTCTGAGTTTCTGCAGGAACCCCCTCTGGAAACCAGTGGAAGGGATCTCCGGTGACTTAGTCTTCGAAGTCAACACCCTGAGGGAAAAGAGAGGCAGAGAGAACATATCTTGGGTGTTAATCAAACATCATCCTTAATGCTTTCTCCAGGAGTTTGAATGACTTCCCCTAACTTCAGTTTTCTCATTAGTAAGGGCCTGTTTTAAGATAATACACACGAATGCAAATGCAAAAGTTGCTTTTAATATTATCTTCATCTGACATTCTACACAGTAGTACTCGGATGTTTGAGAGCAATTCCTCAACCCACAGCTGTGGCCACAGCCACTCCAGCTTCACTGCTGACCTTCTGAAGAGGTTTCTGGAGCCAGAGATGCAGATATCAATCCTTATTTTATTTTATTGTAGTTTTTTGGTATTGGGGATCAAATTCATGACTTTCTACTTGCCAGGCAGGCACTTTGCTACTGAGCTATGTCCCGGCCCAGTCCTTATTTTTAAAAAGGCATGATTAGGAAAAATAAAAAGTGAGTTTCTGACTTTGCATTTTAAAAATGGAAGCAAAACATGAAATGAAAGAAAATTCCTTATTCAAGAGAGCCTAAATTCTTCCTGCACCTATAAATCTGAACAACAAACCAAGTGATTGGCATCTCTAGGAGGTGTGGGAGTCCTTTTCCCCCTTTATCAAGGGGTCTGCTCAGAAGACCCAAAATTCCTTCTTCCTTGGTACCCCAAAGCTCTACAGAGTTAACTAGGATTCTTGTAACGGGCTAGGCATTCCCAGAAAATCAACATACTTATGAGCAGATTTCTAAATCTGGGCCCGTTCAATTAAACACGGCTCTGCGAGTAAAAGTTGTGATGTCACAAAACCCCAGAAATAGCCCTGGCATTTGCAATTATAAGTCTGTCTTTCTTTTTTGGGAGATGTTGCCATTATTTCTGGAGCTGACAGGGACTTTGGAAATCACTTAGTTGAACTTCCTCATTCTTCAGATGGAAAAACCTGGGGACCAATAAAAACACAGAAAAGGGACCCCAGGCCCCTGGTTCCTTTTACTGCAAACATAGCGCCTTTCCATTAAAGCTCTGTAATCAGGCACAACTTTGAGGAATTACACTCTATATAGTATTACTGGATGTTCACTTCTTCACTAAGACCAGCAATCAACTGATCTGTGAAAGCAGTGTTTTAAAATACAGGCATACCAGACAGTCCACAGTTTTATAAATGTCCCAGAACTTCATCTGGGAGGAAGAACATTCTTTCTTGTTGACAGTAAGTGATCCATCATCGGTCTTAATTTCTTAATGCTATATAACCTTTTAATCGCTTTTTAAATGGCCACAATCATCCTGCATCCTTCTGTTCTCTTGAAACAGCAGTAGTGCTTCCTCTCGGCACTTCAGTGGCTCTTCAGATCTGTCTGCTCTGGTTTACAGTCACACAGATCGGCCACAGTACCTTGCCTGACTCACTCCCTCTCGCTGCTTCCAGCTTCCAGCAACCAGAGAGCCCAGCATTTCAGAATCTGCACATTCGCTCTATGCTATAATGACTGATGTCAGCCCTGGCTTTGCCAAATTTCTCTCATCACAATTTCGTTATAGCCCATTCTGAATGATGGGGCTGTGCTGTCGCGCTGGAGCTCAAGCCCTTCCACATAGTTGCTGTATGGATTCAACAATATGACAATCATTTTCTTTCGTTAAAGTTCCATGGCTGCAATGGATAAAAATAACTTGTTGCTGTTGTCACTGCCTGTTTGGGGGAGGTGGTGGAGGAGAGAGGAGATATGACAGTAACCACAGTCCACAGAACCCTCTCTTCTTACCCTAATGAGTCTCCTAGCCTGAGTCTCTTAAATGCCTGCTATCCAAAGTCCCTGGGATTTTTTTTTTTTTTTTTTTTTTTTAAGAAAAGCAAGAAGAAACCCTCCACGTCTACTCTGAGCATATGGCTTTTAACTTGCTTTAGATTTGAGCTCTAAAATACACTGCCAGTTGTAGGCTTCTGTGAGTGTTGTTTTCTTTATTGGAAAAAAAAAATAGGTTCTATGTTGCACAAAATAGGCCATAATAAGCCTTCTGTAAGCTTCTAGGGCAGTTGAGGGAACTTAAGACTCAGCCAGGCAAGTAAACATGCATTTAATAGTGCAGAAACACAGGTCAGAAAAAAAGTTATTCTAAAGCACAGTGTGGAGAAGAAAGACTCCTCTCCCCATTGGTTTAATGTAACCCTGAAGTTCCTTCTAACACTGTCTATTCCTCCACAAGCTTTTCTTGCCCACCACCTAGCATTTCTTTGCTAGGATGTCTCAGGAACCATAACCTCTCACTGGGTGTGTTTATTTATTTACACTGTCATTCCTGTTCTCTTCCAAACTAACATATGTCTGCAGAGCACAGGGAAAGAAGTTAGTGTCTCTTTTCATGTTTATTTCCCCGAAGCTGTTCACCAAATTGCTTTTTTTTTAATACCCCTTTTGCAATCTCACCCCTTCCAGCTCAAGTAAACCAGATTAAAAAGAAGTCTCTGGAGTCACTGTCAAAGGGAGCCTCTCCTAGCCTTCAAATCCTCCACATTTTAGGGTGCAGACACTGCAGGTCGGGGGAATTAAGCAAGAAGGCAAGAGAAACTGATGCAGATGGGCATAGAAAAATAAAAGTGTTTTTTTTTTTTTTTCAGATAATCATTATTGGAATTGTCCGGTTTTCTGTGGCTTTCCTGGTTCAAAGTGATAAACTCAAGTTACTTGCAACTAGCCGTTGTGCAACAACAGATGTGGGCACTGCTTGTGTGTGTGTGGGGGGGTGCATGCGTGCACGTACGCACCCACGCACATGCAAGAGTGCTGGGTGGGGTGTTACAAACCGGGAAAAAAAAATCCAAAGGCAAAGGGATATCCTTCGATTCTCTTCTGGTTTATAGACTTCCTGCCTTCCTTCTAGAATCAAGCATAAAGAAATTTATGCCTCCTTTCAAAATTCCAATGCAACTATGCAAAACAGTAAATGATGCTCAACTAAGGACTCAGTGTCCAGTCTCTCAGATTCTAATTTTTATCACCTTGAAAAGAACTGCACAGTCCAAATCTCTTTCACATGCAGGCCATCTCATTTCCCCAGTCCTCCTTCAGGGACGCGCCATGAACACACCACTGGACTCCAGGGACACAGAATAATGAGAAGCATTGCAAACTTCCACAATGAGATGATGGATAAGGGGGATAACCTGTATTTCTCTCCTGATTTGTTGTCATAGGTGAAAACCATTCTGCAAGTCTTAGTTCTTTGCTGCAAGATTTGAGTAATCTCCTAATCCTAAATGAGCCGAGCATAAGAAATAGCAAGGTGTCTGTGCATCAGGGACTTTTCCAACGTGGTCTCCCACAGGTTTGGTGCTGCATGAACCTGTAGCAAGGCAAAGTGGGCTGTGTTCCTTCAGAGTCTGTTAACTCCACACACAGGGCAGGTTTATGTTTAAAATGCTTTGGGAGCCTGTGACCTTCAACTACTTACTTCTGTAGTGACTACTGACGGCTCACAGGCTTATGGAGAAGAGAGGAACTCACCCTGGCTACTACCGGCCAGGGCGCGTACTGCTGGCCTGGAGGAGCAGCCCCTGGCTCTGTGACCCCAGCACGGCCCAGAGACCCTTGCTCTCCGCCACCCTGGATCCCTACTTGTGCTAGGGACAGAAGACTTATGGAACGTCTCCCCCAGACAGAGGAAAGCTCAGCACATATTATTCCCAGTTCGCCAGATGAGAAACAGAAACGCACAGCGGATTGTCTAAGGAATATTGAGAGATGGAGGGAACCAGAGGAGCTGCACGCGAGGACGAGCTGTCTACTGGGGGAATCGCCCTAGGAGAGGCGGCATCGCCCAGAGCCGCGGCAAAGACTGCTTTGGAGGAAGCCACGGCACAAAGCATTTCCGAGTAGACCGTGCGGAGCACACACGCCTCCCTCCGGTCCTCGCACTCCGAGCAGGTAAAGTGCAGCCAAGATCCCCCGCAGCGCTGGGGGCTCCCTCAGCACCCCGTGCCCAGCACCCGGCTGCAGCTACTCTTGCTGAACGGGAGAGCGAGGAGGGACAGAGAGAGAGCAGTATCGGAAGGAAGGCCACGGGACCTGGGAAGGGGTCCGCGACCAGAACCCCTCCGGCGATTCGCCAGAGGGGCGAGGGGCCGCTGCCTGGGACCAGGCGCCGGCTGCAGGGGGGCGCAGGCCCCGGAGAGCAGGGTTCGCCTAGCCTGAAGCTGCGACCCCAGGCGGGCTTGGGGACGAGGGAGCACCAATTGACCTGGGTCTTGGACCCTGCAGCGTAGCCCCCACACCCACGTCCTCTCCTGGCCCTGGAACCCTCCCAAGGGGTTCTCTTGGCCCGCGGGGCCGTGCCTGCACCCCATATCCCGACCCGGGTCTCCCCGCGGGCCCCGAGGCGCCCGGAGATGCTGCGCCGCGGACCCGGGACCCCGCAGGCGCCTCTCGCCGTCCCTCTGCCAGAGCGCAGCGCCTGTACTTTTCCAGCTCTCTCTTTCCCTCTTGAAATTGAAAGTTATTGAGGTCGCTCGGGGTTGTCGCTCAGCAGTTTCCTTCCCCGCCCCCAGCTCCCCGCCCCCCGCGGCCACCCCTCCCCTCCCCCTCCGCCCCTATGGGGTGCTCCCCGGAGCCCGGCGCAGCACTGCCGAGGCTCGCGCTCGCCCTCGCCGGCCACAGCTCGGGGTCTCCGCCGCCCTCGGCCATGGCCGCGCCGCCCGCGCCCCTGCGCTCCCGGGGCCCCCGCGGCCGCCGCTGAGACCCGGGACCCGCGGCCGCCCGGGATGCGCCCCGAGGCCACCTCTGCTCCTGCGGGGTGACAGCCGCCACCCCCGCGGCGCGGCCGGCCGGCGCAGAGTGAGGAGCTCGCGCGCCCGCGCTCGGCGCCCCCGTCGCCCGCCCGCCCCGTCCGCGCGCCTCGGGGACCGCGGCGGAGACGCCCGCAGCCTGCCCGGTTCCGCCCGGTTCCGCTGCGCTGCGCTGCGCTGCGCGGCGCGGGTCGCTCCTGCGCCTCCGTCTGGCCCGAGACACCGAGCACGCTGAGCAAGCAGTCGGGAGCCGAAGGAGACCGAGAAGGGAAACCTTCCTGGGTTACTATGCACTTGCGACTGCTCCCCTGGTTTTTCATCATCGTGAACTTTATGGAACACATCGGCAGCCAGAACGCCGCCCGGGGACGGCGCCAGCGCAGAAGTAAGTGCGGGGCCGCGCCAGGCGCGTCCGCTCCCCCGCCCGGTTCACCTGTCGGGCTCGGGTCGCCTCGCACGCCCTGAGTCCGTTTCGAGCGGCGCCGGTCGGGCCACTTGGCGCCCCCCGGAGAGAGGGCGCTCGGGACTCGGGTCGTCGGCGGCGCCCCTCTACCCCTGCGTCCTGCGGGCTCTGGGGTCGGCTGCGCTGGGTGCCTCCCGCCCCACGCGTCATGTCTGGGTCTGGGAACGTCTGAGGCTCCCGTTAGATTCTCTCCAGGGATGGGGGCTTCACTGTGAGGGTGCAGAGGGGGACCTCGAGGCTCAGGGAGCTCCTCACCGGGCTGCCCGCGCTGCCCTCGGGTAGGAAGAGCCCTGGGTGGGCCAGGGATGCAGGGGCGAGCGCCTGCGGTGCGGCTGCCCGCGACGCGCGCGAGAGGCGAGGGGTAAAGGGCATACGAGTCCGAGAGCTGCACCCCGCGAATCCGTGCGCCCCCGAACCCCAGAGACTCGGGGATCCCGGTCATCCTCAGCCCACTGCACGTGAGCATCTTTGCCATCCTGGGCGTTGGGAGTGGGTTCGCGAGTGGCGCGCACTCACGGAGGGTGGGGTCCCCTAGAGCCTCTGGCTCCACGGGGCGCGGGGGAGACCGGCTCGTGACAGCTTCCCCGCGGTGGTCCGCAGCCCGAGGCGGACGCCCGAGCAGTGTGGACCGAGGAGAGAGCTGTGCTTCTGCCTACTCCGCGTTCCGGCGAGGCGAGACCCTCTGAGAACCCGAAGGCCGGGCGGCGCCGGCCCCGAGCCCGGGGCGCGGGAGGGGAGCCGGGCGCGGTGGGGGCCGCGGTCGCGCTGGCAGCTCGGAGCGCGGCGCTACTGGTCCCGGGGCCGATCCCCCGAGCCCGGCCCGCAAAGCCCCTCCGGGCAGCAGCGGGAGGACACAGCCCGGCTTGTGCGCCCTGGAAATTTGGTAATTGCTCCCCGGCCGCAGTTCGTCTCTGCCCTGCCCCTGGGCGCGAGGGTCCCCTGAAAGCTGTCTTTGTGCCTCGGGCTCAGCCAGACAAGGTTTGATTCACCTGAAAATAGCCTTGAAAACCATGGTCGGGTCCGAACGCCAGGGGCCCGGCCCAGCCTTCCCGCCCGGAGGGTCGCGGCGCGGGGTACACCAGGGCCTGTGCTGAACACGTCAGGGCGTCCGCTTTATTATTCTTGGCCTCCGAATGGTTCGTATCCTGGTGACTCTGCCACCCGCTCGGTGCAACAAGGGCGCGGGCGCCTTGCACACCCAGACTTCTCTCTTGGTGCGGATGGTCGGGGGAAGTCGCATCATGAGGCCACTGGGGAAACCGAGGCTAGGGCAAGCGTAGCCTCTTGCGATCGACCGTTCAGCCATGGCCCGTCGGGGATGCGAGCCCACTCCCACGGGGGACCCCTTCCCAGCTCACGCCTGCCCGATACGGCGGGGTACCGAGTGGCTCGTGTCCGGGTTTTGGGTCTGGGGCCCCCGTCAGAAAGCAAGGAGGCCGCCCCTGTGTCCCATCTTGCGCTTCGAGGAGCGGGTGCAGCTGGGAGCAGGGCGCGGGGCAAGGGGGCTGGGCGCAGCCGGCCGGAGGGCGCTCCCCGTCTCAAGGCCAAGTACGAGGCGCCCTCTGGCTGCGGCGCGGAGGACGGCAGGGGTGAGGGTGGGCGGGCGGAGTGGGTCTTGGAGGGCGAGGGTCCAGCGGGTCGAGGCTGTCCCAGAGCGGCCCAGGGCGAGGCCCCTCGCGCCTTCGCACTGGAGCCTGCGTTCGCGGCTTGGCTTGCAGCACAATCCTGGGAGAGGGGCGACCCCTGGCGTCCCCCAAGGAGACCGCGGGGCGCTCTTGGCAGGTGCAGCGCTTTTCTGAGTGGCAGGGAGGTGGAGGGCAGAGGGGGCTTGGCCACGGTGTACCCGCCAGCTCACTTGGGTTATTTCCTTGGAAATATCTGAAAAAGAGGAGATTAAAAAACCTTCTATAATAACTAAATAAAATTATATTATATTAAAATTATAATAAGATGGTGATCAAACGTATTTTTAAAAGCCGCCAGTGTTCCTATTTTTTCCTACAATAGGTAGCTAAGGTGAATGTTTTAGTCTCTTGACTTAGATTTCACATTTCTAAATCTTTAAAAAGCACTACGAAAAACAAAGGTACAGATTGAAGATGGAAGGACAGTGACGAAATTTTCTTTTCTAATGGAGCCTTGAAAGTTTTAGTAACAGAGTTTACTGCATGCAGATACTGATAGCCCAGAGAACCGAGATTGGGAAACGGCTTATAAAGACGTGTCTGAGTCCCTAAAACATATTTCTGCTTGCGGTAACAACTGTTAATTACTTTCTACTGTGTTACAAAGTAGTGTTTCCACTTAGAAAAGAAACGGTTTCAAAAGAGGAGTCTGAAGCTATCTAATGAGGGTTGAATAAACGCGTAATGACATTTTCTTTGTTCGGATTGCTGAACAACTCTTAGAGACAAAATATCAAATGTCTTCAAGATAAAAATTAAGTGCAGTCCTTATTGAAAAACCCCACCCATCAGCATTTTTGGAGGTAAGCCTTGACTTTAAGTATAGGATGCTAAAGCAAGAAGCCTGGACCAGTTTTAAACTCATTTCATTCCAAGTAAGTTTAAAAATCATCTGTGACGAAACAGTAGTAGTTACAGTAATAATAATGCCTTACTAGTGCATCACATTTCCCCTTGCATTCTGTGCGTGGGTCCCCAAAAAGTCACGCAAAATGCACAGGCAGTTATTAATGTCTCTGTCTGACAGAGAATGCCCGAGGAACAGGAAGGAGGGAAATGACCTGCACAAAGCCCTCGAGCCAGTAAGCGGCGCCTGTTCTCTTCCATAAACCTCACAATTAATTGGTCACACGTTTTGCTGAGTGTTGATCCATGTTATAGACAGCACGCTTATTAGGTAATAAACTAATTGAGGAATAAATTTGATGCTCTGTAAACCATCATTTTTCCAAATGTTTAGAGAACAGCTGTTCTGCTGGAAAAGTTTTTTGTTGTTTTTGTTGTTGCTTGAGACAGGGTCTCCTGTTCAGGCTGGCCTTGAGCTCCTTTGTAGCCCAAGCTGGTCTCAAACTCTCAGTGATCCTCCTGCCTCAGCCTCCCAAACTCTGAGATTACAGGTGCATGGTCACCATGCCCAGCTCTGCTGGGAAATTTTGAGCTGATATTGATATGCATTATGCAGTGCTGACCAATGTTAAAGAATTAAATACATAATAGTCACAGTGAAGCTTGCTAAATAAAATAAAATTATTTGATGACCCAGAAGACTGTGCAGGTTCATGCCATGCCAGAAAGTTTTTTGTTAGAAACAATAAATAACAAGTTAGTACCTTTTTTTTATTTGTTGCCGTCTATAATTTGGGTTTTTGTTGTTCAGATTCTAGACAAATGCATATATTAAGATATCATGGTATGTGTGATAATTATAATGTATCCCATTGCATAATCTATAAAATGACTTGAAGTTTTTCATAAAGAATTCTGAATAAAGGAGGGCAAGAATGTAAGTAAAATAATTTTCATGGCAATAAAATAAAAACAAACTTAACTAGCATATATTGGTAATGCTTTTGATAATGTTTCAGATCCGAATCCTTCTTTGAGTTCTGAATACATGCTTGGTTATTATATTGCTAATATTGAAAAATAACTGATGAAGTTGAAAAATGTAATATTAATTTTGAATGAAATTTGACTTGGATATTGTCTGCAATACAATTTTCCATCTGTCTATATTTGTCTACCAGATTACCTCGTTTTTGAGAAAAGCATTCTACAGACAGATGAGCAAACTTTTCTAGAAAATGTATGACATACCATGTAATATCATTATACATCAAAGAAAAATTCAAATTCATGGCAGTAATGAAAAATCTAAACAGCAAAAATCATTTATCTCTGGATTTTAATTCACATATCGTAACACTATCAAGGTTGTCTCCTAAAGTATTTTGTTATACTATTTTAATTGTTTGTTTATTACTTCAATAAGATTTTACTAACCACCTTAGAAATGGTAGTTTTGAAATACTGTCATTTTAGCTCCAAGTTACTCAAACTGGGAACATAAGAATGAGTGTGAAAGTGATTTATTGTTGTTATTTTATTATTCTTTTAGGCATAAAACATGAATAACGTTTCAACTTTTAAGTTGATAAGCTTTGCAAAATCGTTTCTCCACTAAAGATTTTCCTAGTATTTAATATTCTTCAAATTAGCTCCCCAGAAAGCAAAGAATGGAAATGACGACATGTTGTAAAATTCGATTTTCAAGCTATTATGCAGAAACAGTGCTGTATTACTACAGACTGAGTTTCTTAGCCATTTGATCATTTTAGATGATTGGAATCAGGACAGAGCTCGCAGATTGCCACTAAATGTCTAAAATATTTCCTAGTGAATTGTCTTTTCTAGATGCAGTGGTTCTTTTCAACCTGCTATATTATACACTTGTCAGATCCTCGTGTAGAGGTGAAAACCAAAAGATACCTATGCAATTATAACACTGAACCGTCAAAAAAAAAAAAAAACACCCTCTATTACATAGTGATTATTGATACACTGCATCGAGTAATGGTCTTTTTCCCTGTATCTCAACCAAAAACAATTTTCATTTTAAAGCATTCCTCTAATTCTCTTTCCACTTTCTCACTGCTCACTCACACTTCCCATCCCCAGCCTCTAAAATAATCCTTTTCCAAGTAGCGAGTTCCTGGAATACCACCGCAGTGAATATTGTGTTTCATGAAATGTAAGAGTCAACTTTGGTTACTATTAGGAAAATATCATTCAGTCTGGGGAACACGGTAAAAATCATGCAAGACAGTGTGTTGAAACTGTGTGTTTGACTTGGTTAGGGTGATTCCTTCTAATAGTGTGTTATACACTGGCAATCCTTTCAGAAATGAGAATTCGAAAAACAATATTATGTTGTAAATTACATAGGTTTATTTTGCCTTGCTCCTGATTTTGAGGGGAAAATGTAGATTGCTTTCTCTGTTGTATTTTTTCAAAAGGATTAACAGGATGAAATTACTTCTAAATTTACTGTCTGTTGGATGGCACAGTAAATTTGAAATATTTTACAATTTATATGTTAATTAAATATATAATGTGTGGGGCTGGGGATTTAGCCCAGTGGCATAAGTACCTGCCTTGCAAGCAGGCGGTCATGAGTTCGATCCCTGGTACCGATAAAAAGTTAACATATATATATATATATATATATATATATATATAATGTGTACAGTGTACACTTATGAAAGATACTGCCTATACTTTGTATTTATTTCATTCCATCATAGTTTTCACTCAGAAGTGCTAGAATATTACTAGTCATCCAGAAGTGCTAAGAATAATGGAATGAATGATCCATTAACCAGGATTTTGGTAGCCTGAGAATGCTAAATACCCACATGTCACTGAGTGTCAAGAAATCCCCTTTTCTGTCCTCAAAATTTCAGTAACAGGACACTTTTAAGCAGAATACCTGAAATCTTTCCATAGGTGATAAACAGTTTCAATAACTGAAAAATTCATTTAAAAGTACTGTATACTTACAGGTCCCCCTTATCTGATAAGAGCATTTCTTGATGTGTCATCTTGGCAAGGGGCATAGTTGTATCAATAAACTTCTTTGGGAAGATTCAAAGGAAAATTCAAAAGTATGATTACTCAGTTAGATTTACTAGCTTATAACTGTCTTTATATTTTATGCTAAACTGTATTTTTCAAAGCACCACCTTGTTAGTTTTCCATGTGACCTTTGAGAATTCAGTGAATAGCAAGTAAGCAACTTTGCAGTAGAAACATCCCAGAAAAGTAAAAACCAGTGTACGATGGGAAGAGACCTGGAAGCTGACCACTTGGCCGTAGGTCTTGCGCTGCTTCTGTTACTGAGAAACCTAAGTGAATCACCTTGCTGTGGTTGGCTATATTTACGAAGACAAACAAGGAGGTTGATAAAAAATTGACATCAAAGCCATCCCAATTATCTCCTGAACTTTGCAATCTTTTAGTATGAGTATATAAGGCACTAGTAGAGTGTTAAATAGTACTTCTAAGTTTACTTGTCTTCTCCAACTACGTTTTTCAGGCAAAGATTAAGAATGAAAAAACATGTAGGCATTCATTTATTATAAGGAAGTTTATGGTGTGAGAGTTATCATGTAGTGATATACTAATGAGCAACTCATAAGCCTGGAGAATGAGTTAACTATGCTCTGTCCCATGCACCGTGTCTGGTGTCTGAAAACCACAACCATGACATCAGTCATCACACGCAGTGTACAGCAGGTCCTTCTCCTCCTTGGGTTTAGAATCCCGGAGATTGGGCTTGTGATACCAAGCAGAGCCAGGCTTCCTGGCTTGCTCTCCATGGTAGGCTTTCAAAGGTGACGTGAGCTGAAAAGGAAAAGCCAGCTCTGAGAGTACGCTTTGAGGCAGTGAGGCCTTGGCTGAGACAGTGAGCGAATGAACAGGAGAATACGTGCCTGCAGACAGTCAGTGACTTTGGCACTTAATTGGATGTAAAAAAGAAAGGGAAGGTCATCTCTGGCCCCTGGAGCACGAGGTGGTAGTGAGTGGAAAACTGAGGGACAAATCTGAAGACCAGAAGGAAAGTAAGTACAAGTAAGTTTGGTAGAAAACTTATTTTGCTTTTGAAACTTCTTAAAAGAGCCAGTTGGACATTTTGGAAGTTAAAACCCATTTCAGAGTACCGAGGACTGAAGCCAGAACTTTAGAGCCACTCACACAAAGATGATGGGGTAAGTGAGAGGAATGCAGGGGTGCCTTGTTTATTCTCACCAACAATGTTTGCACCACCAGTATTGAGACTCATTCTTTTGTGGTAGCATCAACTTAGATGAATGACATTAAAGCACTTTCATGCAATTAAGGAGTTTAATATAT